ACCCCCATTGTGGTGCATTGACAACTTTACACAATATGGCGACACGACCCATTGAACACAATCACTTCATGGTATTGCAAGGTCGTAGGGACAGCGTTGGCAATCTGCTTATGGCAAAATAGTTACAATTGTAATGTTTTGCAGAAATAAATACATTTTATGAAGAGTTTTCCAATAAGGCCCAAAGGAATACTAACCTGTCAGAAATACAATAATTAATTAACAAACTCGTATTAAACAGTAATGTCAATTTATGAAGTTTCATAACGAAAGGTATTCTGAGATACAAATTTTATTAAAATACTAAGTTACAACATTTCATTAGCAATTTAAATACTTTATTGTAGGTATACTAAATTGTAATGATAGCACAGTACAGGTGGTTTTATTGCTAGAATGTGCTCTCAAAAGAAAGATAAATTCATCCCTAAGTAGGCACTAATGGGTACTCCCAGTAATATAGTAATAGCCACATTATCTTGTACCTTAATGCCTCGATTTTAGGTCAAAAATATTAAAGTTTTTAGGGTCTGCCTAGTTAAGTTTTAGGAAAATTTGTTAATTCACAAATTATTATCTTAGCGTTGTTAACTTGGAAAAAATTGTTAAACAATAGGGCTATTACAGCTGCACTTAAATTGACTCATCAATCTACGTAATACGTTCAATACTAATTATAAAGTATGCTAATTGAATCGACAGGTACTATTTTGCTACAAAAATGTAGTCTGATTCGCTGTAGACTCTACCTAATTATGTGCCCATTTGATACGTTTTCTCACACTTCAACTTTATCTATCATCGGTTCCTGATGTTCTTACTAAAGGGCGTGTGGGTCACCTGATGTTAGGCGACCATCACCTTGATAGTGACCGTGATACTGGTAGGCACCATCAGAAAGAATCACGGCCTAGTACGAGTAGGTAGGTCTACAGCCAAAAGAGTATTCGATATCGTGCCAGCCTTTTTAAAATAGATCTAACGAACAACGAAGCCATGTCAAGTGTTTTCTTCATCTTGGGAATATCTTTTCTCCCGTGTCATTTGGGAAACGTAAAGTTTTGGAGAAAAGAAAAGTTCAATACAAGTTTTATAAAACACATACCTACTTACTTTGTAAAAATCCACTTGGTTACTTTCAAAATGAACACTCATGCATACCTATAACATACGTCATACACCATATTTTGGGCCCCAAAAGTAAAATTGATTGGAGGGACGATTGGATGAAAGTTAGTGATCCAGTTTTTAAACCCGTGAAGTCATTTTTACAAGTCTAATGAATAATTCAATACACAATGCTACAAACAATATCCAGCTTAACTCAACCCAAGTATTTATAAATTCCGTTGGCTTACAATCTCGTCTTTGGCAACAATCTGGGTGATTTAATTTGTTGGATATTTGGATTACACCACAGAATAATAATAAGTACTACGTACAGAAGTTTTACTTCGCGAAGGTATTTAAAAACATGTATGCTCAATGTCATTAACAATATGGTGTAATTTAGCATGTCTCAAGAGTCAAGCACCATTTTGTTGACAAACGTCAGTGATCGGCACTGCGCCGAAGCTATAGGGCTGACTTCGGTAAAATGATGTGACGTGAGGTGCCAAATTGCAGACAATGGCGGAGGAAATACATGATTTAGCATGAATTATCATGAATAATATTAACTACTTATTTACCTCTCAGTGTCTTCAGGCAACTTTAAAAAGTACAAATTCTGTATTTTTATTATCATTTAGGCAGTTAAATACTGCATAGTTTAGTACACCATTTTCTTTATTGTTTTCCATCATACACTAGAATACGCGTGCGTGAGTCAATGTTCGCTCGTATGTGAGACCTTAACGAATAGTATCCTGTAGGTGGGCCATCGTGCGTGTTTTGTTTTCGATGTAAACTCGCGGAGATGAACAGGCCTGATTACACTTCAAAAACTTTAACCCTCCGTGTACGAGGTGACTAAAAGTTACGTCCCGTACCAGGTGGGGTATGACATACCCCAATATACAAAGTGATAAAACTTTCATTTAAAATTTTTTTGGGTGTTATTAAATATTTAATATTGATTATTTACGTATACTATTAGGTGCAAGAAAAGCTCTGAGCTAAAAATATGTATTATAACATTTTTGTCATAAAAAAACAAAAAGACACAATTTCCGTTGTTCTTGTAATTTAGGAATCAGATTCTTATGTATAATTTTTAATTAGTGCCTTTAATTATGACAACCGTTTTTATTTAACAAAGTACAAGATAATTACTTATAATTTAAAAGTAAATTAAAAACTGAAAGGGTATAAATTTATTTTGATCATCGTATTTTAATTTACCCCAATTCTGATGAAAGGAAATGAGTATGCTCAATGCATAAAATGGGAGCGAAACAATTTTATTTATTTATAAAATATGTTATTCCATTTCAGTAGCCCATAAATTGTATCACCAAGTATAAATTGTAGCCCATAAGTGTATGTTCACATACATCTTCGGATCTCAGTACTAAACTTCCAGATTCGCACTAAAAGTCATCTCATTTGATTAAAAGTGCTTGAAAATTTCAGATTCCGTGAAAATCACGAAAAATATTATTTGTATTGATTTTTATTCAATTAACAAAGCTAAAAATATATAAAATAAACCAAAACTGTTAGATATTTTTTTAAACTTTTTAACAACGTCCCGTACCAGGTGGGGTGTGTGACACCCACACACACTTCAAAGGCATGTAACTAAGTTGGTAGTCACCGCTGGACTGATTTTGCAACGCTGTTTGAAGAAGCAGCGCCATAATTCCAGCTACTGAGAATTTCAAATTTAGCACTTACAAATTTTTAAAATTATGACGATTTTTAAAGGCCTGGGGTGTGTCACACCCCACCTCGTACAGCGAGGGTTAAGGAACTAAGAAAATTATAGTTGAAAGAGCAAGTGTTAAAGCTTTGAGCTTTACTTACATCACAGAGAAACTTATTATAGTCCGCACTATGGGTTATTTGGAAAAGTAATTAAGCTATGTCTGTGCCTGCGACTACGCTCGCGCCGAAATTTTTTTTTCCTGTTTTTGCAACATTTTTGATTAATGTTCCGCTCCTATGCTGCTAGCATGCTAGCATGGCGTGATGATTTTCAGCCATAGCCTTCCTCGATAAATCTAAGCTATCTATCACAAAAATACTTTTTGAATTCGTAACACAATACTGAAATATTTAGACAAATTGTTTTTGAAGTTGTTTATTAAAGCGGCACATAAAATATGAAGTTTCTGGCGATTCTGGATTTTTTTTGGCTAACTCCTTTATCTTTACCTTAACATAAAATAGACTCATTGCAACTAAAAAGCTAACAAACGTAGGAAATTACATCTTTAGTCCAGTCAATGAATGCCTTAACGACGGTGTAGAGAGAAATCCGTGGAACACAATTTCTGACCTCGGGACTTTATTTAGCCTAGTTAGGAGGTGAACATAGCAAAAGTCCCCGCCCTTAGCCCTTGAGCCGGCGGGGAGAGGGGGGTTTAAAGGTACCACTTTTCGGTTTTAAGCTTAATCCTCGGAAACTATGCGTCCTAGTGACATGACTACTATGAACCAAAAAAAGATTATTCAATTTGCTACAGGTGAGACCGTCAAGTTTTTCTATATCTTGTATAGTTTTTGCGGCATCTGCTCTAGAAGGTCTGTAAAATTGGAAATTTTATTGTTGTCTTACATGTTCCTTTCAGGAGAAAATCGACTAAATCAACATTGAGCAAACACTATAAATAAAATTTCCAATATTACAGACCTTCTAGAGCAGATGCCGCGAAAACTAAACAATTTATAGAAAAACTTGTCGATCTCACCTGTAGCAAATTGAATATGCTTTTTTTGGTTCAAAGTAGTCATGTCACTAGGACGCATAGTTTCCGAGGATTAAGCGAAAAACCGAAAAGTGGCACCTTTAAACCCCCCTCTCCCCGCCGGCTCAAGGGCTAAGGGCGGGGACTTTTGCTATGTTCACCTCCTAACTAGTCTAAATAAAGTCCTGAAGTCAGAAATTGTGTTCTACAGTTTTCCATCTATAATGCTTTATTGACTGGACTACTTAGTCGGTGTTTCTTGTACGTAAGGGTATTCCTTTTCTATTGAAAATAAATCACTTAAGGTATGTCTTTCAAAACGTGGGAGAAATAAGAAGGACGAAGCCAATTTAGATTGGGCTTAGGCCCTCTAAATGTTTTGTAGCCTTTTTAATGTTATTTTTATCTTAAAACAACAGGCAATGTCAAAGTATTCTATTTATGGTCTACACGAGTAACTTATAATAATATTTCCGATATAAAATATTGTTGAGGTTTGGATCTGGTAAGTGAAGCCTTCGTTATTCAAGGAATTTCCCAACTTAAGCACAAAATTTAAAGCCTAGTTAGTGAATTACTTTCTGTTGATAAGCCTATTAGAAGTGTCAACATCACTCTCACGAAACGGCCATTTTAACTAAAGTTTAGGGTTTAAAAAGAACTTAACGCCCGTATTAAGTTATTCACAAACGATGCTTGCTTAAGTGAAGCAGCAAATCGAACGCACAGCGTTGAATAGAGCTCTGTTATTGGTTCGTGTGTCACCCTGTGCTACCACTGTGAGACCTTATAGTAATGTTTGCGAATACGGGCGTTAGACTGGGATTCAAGCAGAACTCTATACGCGATGATGAGAGTTCTCCATAAGATCTGAAAACGTTTACAGTGAAAGCACTTGTATGCATGTGTATTACACTTGTCTTGGCATTGCTTTACATGATTTTTTTTTTGTTAAAGAAGAATCCTATCTTACAAAAGCGTTTACTGCTAGAGACAGGCAAAATTTCAAAAAATCCCGCATCCAGGTGCTTCCCGTTGCCTTCACCAGGTCGTGGTGAAGTGCCAATGAGTACCTACCTTTTGGCAACATGACATTTGACATGCTTGACTACTTTACTACATTTATTTATAAGAATGTATGAAACTTACGTAGAGCTGAAGTTCTCCATCGGCAGGTTCTGTTTTTTTTCTGCCTCCATCTTGTCCAAGTACCTGAAACGTGAATGTTTTGGCAATTAGTTGGTAACAAGTTAAATTGATTTTCGAAGTGACTAACGAGGCTTTAAGTCCAGTGGGGCAACCCAAATCATTTCTGTATTTATGAGATTGTTTATCTCTGTCACTCGTGCCAGCATCTCGCTTTGTGAGAAAGAGCTAGATGGATACAAAAAGAAAAAAATAGCGTTAGAGACCCAAGTCGCAGATAAAATTAAAAGAGGCTACAAGTCATATACGTGACGTATTAGACTTTCTGTTTCTTCCAGAAAAATAAAGGATGCTTCTTATTCAAAAAGTTCAAATTATAATCCAAGTTTCAACTTTAATCTTAGTTATGGAACTAATTTAAAACTTAAGACCAACACGTTCTTTAGATCTGTGTGGACGGCACTCAAGCTGAAAACTGTATCTTAAGTGAATTGTGAGAGGGTTGATTTTGCAACAAAAATTTAACAATTTGTATCAAGGCGCGAGTTTATTTGTATGAAAACTACTACTTTGCGGTCTAGATTGAGTTATTGTTGTAGTTTATACTTTCCGAAGCTTGCCGAGGACTGTTTGGTGGAAACTCTATTGTGTCTTGTCACCAACAATACTGTGTGCCTACCATGAGTTTACGTTAGGTGTGCTCGCTAGCGACTGCGTAAAAAATGACATTTAAATGTATGACATATTGTGCAGCACCCCTAGCGGCTACTTTCAAGAAATAAAATCTTCATAGAATTTTTTGACGTATTCGCTAGCGAGCTCTCCTAACGTAAACTCATGATAGGCACACTGAATGAATTAAAGTTCGAAAACTTTCAGTCAGTCAAATCAAGGAGTTTTCATTGTAAATGGGAAGAGAGAAGGGCCGGAACTAAGAAGTATGGCGGTATATGTTACGTGTAGTTTAGTATTAATTAACTATACAAGCTCTTTCCGTGACTTTTCTCGCGTAAGATTTGATGGTTAAGATCTTTTGATTCTTGTGTGGAATTAAAATACAGTAATACGTTATACTCTATAATTAAACTAAATATTGTATCTACCAATTTTCTCTCCAAATTAATTTAGCCTAAATATGGAGATATTCTCAATCTCTGTAATTCCTTTTTCTGACGAAAAGCATTTGGAGGTCAAATATATTTCTTTACCCAATTTCTTGAAAATTGCTTTGTCTTTATTTCGTAAGTGAACGCTTTATTACGAAGCAAAATTATAATTTTTAATGTATATCTTTTTGCATAAAATATTTTATGTTTCTCTTACCCTTCCTCGCAAACAATTTCACAAAGGCTAATGGAAGGGCGAAGGTTTTTAGTGCCAAGAATATTTTTACAACCACCTGAGCCCAGCAGAAGTCTGGACAATGGACATTTTGTGTACACGAGGATTTTCGCACTTCATTTCACCTAAAGAGAATAATTTTAGGTCAGGAAATAACCTAGATAACATATTGTTTTAAACTTTCATAGTTACTAACAGAATAATTATTATCTCACCCGCCAGTTTCCTCAGTTACTCCGTGATCATGGCGCTTGTAATAGTGCCAAAATATCGGAAACTCGAAATTAAGGTTCATGGTAGCAATCCCGTCAATATAATTAACCTAGACAACTGTTTGTAAAGGCACCAGCTCTTTATTTACTGGAAAATATGTAGCATTTATAATAATGTTTTGTTCTAAAAGAGCAACTATTTTAAGTTCAAGTGGCTTCGTTTAATTTGCCGCCGTTTGTTATAAAGCCGGAGATCATAGAATGCACCATGTCACTAAAGTCTATAGTCGATTCGTCCCGGTCTATAATCGATATCTTTTTTCCGAGACATATCAGACTTGAGCTGTCATATAATAAAATTATAGTATTAGCATGTGCTATCATAATATAAGGTAGGTATTAAAGTGCTATTCTTAGTTCTGGGGACGGAGTTCATACAACATGTCCCATTGTTCTTTAATATGCAAATAAGTATTTCTGTCTTTCTACAGCCTACAAAAACCAGCCAATTATACGAGTATTCACCAAAGTTGAGCCAAATAAAAAAGAAAATCACTAGTCCAACGTAATAGAATTGAAGTAGATCAAGGCGAGCTTAGCTAAAACCTAGAGCCACGCTCTCGCCAACTGCCTTTAATCGTCGCTTATTTACTAGCTATCAGCTGGTTCGTTCACCCGAGACGACCACCTTGACAACTGCTTTTACACCAATTAAATTAAATTGTCACAGATATTAACGACAATGGTCAACTATAGGTAATTGTGGCAGAAAATGAGAGCAAACCACATTTTACGTTTACGTAAATGTAAATTTAAAATCAGGTTGAATTTTTGTCAAACGCAGACTCGGTCAATTTAAAATGTGACAGTTAACTTCCTCCGGGTACCACATACACACACCGGAAACCGTTAGGGTGGGTTGCACCATCTTACTTTAACTTTGACAAACGTCAAAAATCTGTCAAACTCCATACAAAAAGCACCGGTTATCGTCATAGTTACCGTTAAAGTTAGGTGGTGCAACTGAGCCTTAAAGTTGTAGAATTTACTCTCATCTACATCTGGTCATAACATAAATAACTATTATTTACTAAAATTGTCTACACAAAATAATAAGACATTAGGAGCACATAAGCAAATGCCTATTACAGTGAATCCAGATTATAATTTCAAATTAAGAAGTTTTTACGGACCTGTCAGTTACATTAAAAGTTACCTACCTACCTACCTACGTTAGTTGTTTTAGCAAAATTCACTACATTTGCATTATTTTTTATTTAAAAAACCAGCAAATAAGCTTGTTACCTTAGGGTCGCCGCACACGGACCTCACGCCACAGCCACAAAACGCTGCTACCGGCATATTTTTACATACATATTTTCGTATGACGGTGTTTTGTGACGCCGGTGGCTTATATACCTGTTGGTATGCGATCTTATTTCCAGGCATATAAATAAAAATCAGCAAATTCTTCTCCTGTTGACATACAACATAGGAAGAATTGCTGATGCATCCTTTTTAGAGGGAACCGTAAAGTAGGTATTTTCTAATTTTTAAAGCTTTCATTGTTATCTTCAGGCAGTATTATAGACGTTGGCCTATTTCAAAAATAAATTAACAGTTCGAGAGTTTCAATAATTTCTAATAGTTAACTTTTAAAGTCTTTTGATTTTAATTAAATAGGAGATAATTCACTGACAAACTCAACCCTATCTTTCAGTAAATCCACGTCACAAAATCGGATTTATCACAACGAAATTGGAAGCCATAAATCGGCTCAAACTCGTGTTTACACGAAATCTCTTGCAAGCTTGTTCATTGATTAAATTTTGTACTAGCAAGAATATGTTTGGTTCGTAACGTGCCATCACAATCCTAGTAGTGTCAAACTTCATTAACATGGCTGAATTGGAGCGGCTCTACGTTCCATCGTACGGGATTAAGTTCTTTTTATGGATAAAGCCTGGCCTGTAATCATCATCATCATCATCATTTCAGCCATAGGACGTCCACTGCTGAACATAGGCCTCCCCCAATGCTTTCCATGTTGATCGATTGGTAGCGGCCTGCGTCCAGCGCTTCCCTGCTGCCTTTACGATGTCGTCGGTCCACCTTGTAGGTGGACGTCCTACGCTGCGTTTTCCGGTACGCGGCCGCCATTCCAGAACCTTTCTGCCCCATCGGCCGTCAGTTCTGCGTACTATGTGCCCTGCCCATTGCCACTTCAGCTTGCTAATCCGTCGGGCTATGTTAGCGACTTTGGTTCGTTTACGGATCTCCTCATTTCTGATTCGACTTCGCAAAGAAACACCAAGCATAGCCCTCTCCATAGCACGCTGTGCAACTTTGAGCTTCTGTATAAGGCCTATAGTGAGAGGCCACGTTTCCGAGCCATAAGTTATCAGCCTGTAATATAAGATTTTAAACTTTCGCGTTACATTTCAATTAAAATAGTAAGACCCGTGTCTTTGAAAGCCTGTAATGTCAAAAAAGTACAATTATAAAATGTTTGTGTGTCCTACGTGGGAATTCAATCCAATAATCTTTGGGTAGAAAGGGTCACACTGAAACCTAAATAACGGACTCACGAAGAACTAAAATACTATTAATTTACGCTCAAGTACTTACATACTTCAGTCAGGTGTATCAGATACAACTTCTTATCTCATCTCGCGTGACGTATCCGTTTTTATAAATCAATCAATACCGCTTATCTTTCCATCAGTTTTTTGATAGTTGCGACTGTCCACCGTCACTTCAACGCACTTATTAACGTTTTCGTTACCGATCTGTATTTTAATCATATTTTAAGAGTTTGTTTGTTTGTTTACTCGAACGCGCTAATCTCAGGAACTACCGGTCATCATCATCATCATCATCATTTCAGCCACAGGACGTCCACTGCCACGAACATAGGCCTCCCCCAATGCTTTCCATGTTGATCGATTGGTAGCGGCCTGCGTCCAGCGCTTCCCTGCTACCTTTACGATGTCGTCGGTCCACCTTGTAGGTGGACGTCCCACGCTGCGTTTTCCGGTACGCGGCCTCCATTCCAGAACCTTTCTGCCCCATCGGCCGTCAGTTCTGCGTACTATGTGCCCTGCCCATGCCCATGCGGAACTACCGGTCCGATTTGAAAAATTATTTCAGTGTTAGATAGCCTATTTATTGAGGAAGGCTATAGGCTATATACCATCACGCTACGAGTAATAGGTGCAGAGTAATAATGAAAAATGTTGCGAAAACAGGTTTTCACGCGGGCACAGCTAGTATGAATATAATCACAACACGTCCATGCCTTCAGGCTATATAAATTACAATAAATTTGTCTCACTTTTTTAACATGATTCATATCTAAAAATTATAAGTTACATGATACGAAGCCTTTTTAACAGTTTATTACATTTCTACGTTACCAACAAGGAACTGACATAGTTGCAAAATTTATGTAGTTTGCCTGGGAGGAAGTTTAACCAAGGCCTAAAAACAAGCGATAAAATGTAATAAGGTATA